GCACTTTACCATGCTCAAAACAAATTCTGAGACTACAAAGGCGAGTGGAATGGCATCAAAACCACAAAAATCATCAAGATACAGCTGAAAAACCTACATCAGCTTGAATCATTCCATTAAAACATAGGTGAAATGCTGGTAATGTATGGCGTTTGCTTCTTATTGGGGTTTAGGTGACCACCTTATGGCTACTGATTTGGTGCTAGAAGTGGGAGAAAGGGTTAAAGATGAGACATAAACTCATTATTTTTGAAGCATTTTGAAGAGAGCATGCCTGAGTGATGAAGGGATGGGTTGTGGAAGAGGGACGTTTGCTGGGCTTGACCTCTCCTTTTGCCTTTTGTGGCTTCCAGCAGTCCATCTGCTGCTGAAGCAGCTGCTGGAAGAGGTTTTTTCTGCCTGAAGAAGATGGAGGAGGGCCCCAAGGGAAGGGTCTGCTCCTCCCAAACCACTGTGTGTGTTGGCCAGCCAGGTGGGGAGTCCCAGGGAAACACTGGTGAAGATTTCTTGGGGTGGTGGCCATTGCTTCTTGCTATCTGTAATTGTAATCTCTCCTCTCAGTGAGTACTTTGAAAGGGATCTCCAAAGTCCAAGCATCCAGAAGTCATCTATGGTTTTTGAGATCCATGTTTGGTTGAATCCAGCAATGAACAGAGCCCTCATTCAAAATACCTGAGGGCATTTCTGGACAACACTGTGAGCAAAGCTAGGCAGAACAGATGGAAGCCACATCCGTACTGGAACAAGAGTTGTGCCATATGGTGAACGACCACCTGCAATGCTTTGCTCCTCAAGCCTGGCCAGGTGACATGCGAGATTAGTTTCAGCAAAAATCTCGGGCAACAGCATTTTCACATCACTTGTGATTTCTGGGTACAATTTTTATCTTTATGTTTAACCCTGATAAAGGCCACTTTGTCATTATGCTTCGTAACAGCAATAAATAGATTTATCATTATCCCGATCATACAGTTGACTGCATATGGGTGCCCCCAAAGGCTCACGGGCTCCCTCCTCTCCCAGGTTTGGGTGGGATGCAAGCTCCCCTAGCTGAGGTCTCAGTGCTGAGACAATGCTAACCAACATAGACTTCTCTTTGCTGTCACCCTTTGAGGGGGGCTGAATTCACCATCCCAGAAACAGTGCCTGGGTGGTCCCAGCCAAGCAAGGACTCCAAGTTTACAAGCATCCCTGGGAAAAATCATCAGCGCTCCCCCCTTCCCTGATCCCTCCTTGCTGTCAGCGTTCCCTGGTTGCATGAAAACGGGGTGGCCTTGGGGGAGGCTAGGGAGAAAAGAGATCCTAAGGGGTGGGACTTGGGGTTTGGATTTGTTTGTTGGGGTTTTTCTATTGTTTTTTCATTTGGTCTGTATCAAGGACTCTAGCTGAAAATGTGAGTGGCAGCTGAAGACTTTTTTCCCCCTTTTGAAAATGGGGGGACTTGGTGGTGCTAAGCTGAGCTGGGATTGAGTAAAAGAACAAAAATTTTAAACAGTATCCATGCGCTTTACATCACCACCTCAGTGCTTGGCTTATTTCCAGTGAATATTTTGCTTGGTTGTTAGCCGGACCCCTGCACAAAATAGCATGTGCTGGGTGCTTTCTGTAGTCTGTATACAGAGACCAAATGGTCCAGGACCAATATTTAGCCAGGCTCCGTGTGTGCATGTGTGCTGCCATGGAGGAGCAACCCTGTTGTCGGGAGTTATCACCTGTGGCTGAGCCTGCTGCATTAAGGGATTTTTTTGTTTGTTTCATTCTCTTTTGCACAAGACAGTCTGTCCCTGCCCTCAGGCACATCTTTTTATCTCTCACAGGGCATCGGAGTTTCATTCAGGGGTGGGATTGGGAAGGACAAATTCAATCACCTTGGGAATTAGGGTGAATGGTGTGATAAACGCTATTGAAAAAAAACTCCTACATATGAAAAAGAAAAGTAAATACATCTATGTTATGTCGTGCACATGAGAACACAGCTGCAGTTCTAGGGTCTGGGTTTTACCTTTACTTCGGCTTCTTCCTAACTGACCCACATTGCTGTCTATGGGCTGCAGCTCATGCAAGATGAACTCGTACAAGATGAAAAGCCTTTTCAGCAGCTGATTGAAACCTGTGTCTCTCTCTCCATCAATTCAAATGTGTTTTCTGTTAAAAATCTGTAATCCAGAGAGTTTACAGGTCTCAAATTGTCAGGACTTTTTGGAGCTTTTGATAGTCTCGGTTCTCCCCTTGGGAACAGAAACCACTCATCCAAGCCTCATGGCATGGCTGTTTTCTGACTGGCCTGACCAGCTTTTGCAGTTACTACTTTTTCTGCCTGAAAAAAAAAGTTGTATCATATCTCTGGGCTCCAAATCTACCTCTCCAAGGCCATTCACCCACAGGAGCTTTGGCTAACCCCCAGAATTTGTGGAAGAGATACCAACAGGTGCTTGTGAGCATTTATTTTCACTAGTAGTTGCTAGTACACTTTGCAGAGGGAGAGATCAAATGTTTTGACCTACCACGACAGGACCTTAATTCATGATATTGGAGCATGGGGTGCAACATTTGTAGCATTAAGGAAGGCACATGGCAGCTATGGTGGCACTGCTACGGCTGCACACATTTGACCAGTAGCTTGGGTAGGTCTGACCATCTCCTCGTGGTCCTGGTTGTGTCTTGGGGGAGCAGAGCAGCACAACAGGCTCTTCTGACAAGCCATTAATAAGGCTGAACTTGGATTTGGGTGCCCATGCTCGGAAAAATGTCACTCCTTGTGGTGAAATCAGTTTGGCGTAATCTGGAGCATCGTTAAAGATTCACAAAATTGCAGAAATTAACACAGAAACAAACACATCCTGGGGAAAAAAAAAATTCCGTTTGCTGCATGACATGCTGCATCGCATGACATCTGTTAAATTCACCTTCTTAAATGCTATTTTTGGCTCTGCTGGTACCAAAAGCCCAGACTGAGATGTCATTTACTTTTAAGAAAGTAAGGGCTTCTAATGGATGTGATGTATTTTACTGTATGCAACTGTGCTTGTTTTAAAATAAACATTTGACGTTCAAGCTCTGAAATCTATCAGGCAATTAATGCATCTGATACACACATGTATGTTCTTGATTTGGCATATTAAAATGTTTTTTCCTGAAGCTGGTTTAGATGGAATTACATGATTTATTTTTTAATGGCTCTAGACACCACAGCATTGCTTTTTTTTTTCCCCAGAGTTGATTGTCCTTCACCATCTTTTCTTCCCCCCCCTGCCAATACATCACTCCCTGCTAATTTCTGAGCAGATCTTTCTTAAAAAGATCTGTTTTGCCTCTTGCTTTGCAAAGCTGAGTTGACAATCCCAATAACGAACGCTGAGGCTCCCAAACTGCCTTTGCCAGAGACCTGCCCTTTAATCAATCTCTCTCTGTCACCTCAGTGTTCCAGCCTAGATGCTCTCAAGCTAACCAATATTGCTGTTAATCCAGCACGGAAAGGGTGTGAGGACAAAAGGTCATTTGGGATAATTTAGCCCCATGTTTCCAGATCCACCGTGATTGTTCCTTAAAGGATTTTTTTTTAATTTTTTTTTTCAGAATGAATTATTTTTACACACGTTATTTATGACCTGGAAATTGAAACCTGGATTCAGCATGCGTATGACTGAGGGTCTGTCGGGGCTCTGCAAGACAGTGGAGGAAGGTTAGTGAGCACTAGCAAAGCTCACCAGTGTTTGTTTGCAGGGTGGAAAGTAAGTAGGAAGGAGGGGCAGATCAACAACTCTGGGTGACCATTTCTGTAGTGCACCTGGCTTTTGTGGGTTATGCATCTCTTCTGGGCACAATAGGCAAAGGCCTCTCTGGGTCATGGGCACAGCTTTTCCATCGCCATGTGTTCATGCAGCACCTTGCACGGCAGCGTGCAGCCCCTCTTTGAGAAATGCTTGCCCTTGGCATTTCCACCAGCAACCGTGATGGAGACCAACTTGTTGTTGCTCTAGTTGAAGGCAAGCGTGCAGACCAGTGGGTCTGATGCATACCGAGGTATGTTGCCTTTTGCTTAATAAAGGGCTCTGCTGCCAGCAGAAGCCAGTCGAGCAGTGCATTGGAGACCACAGTGCTGAAGAGGTGCATGCCTCCTCTGCAGCACCTGCAGCCTGAGCAAACCTCCTTAGCCAGGGTGCAAGTAAATAACCAACTACTTCTGGTATATGCAGGCAGACATCAGCCTGGACAAGTGATACTCATACCTTCTGCACCCCATCACCCCCTACCTGGGAAACAGATTTTAGCCAAATCAGTGAGTGCCAAAACATTGTGGGATGCAAGAAAGCAGCTCAGCTTCTGTTCGGAGCTGTGCAGTCAAGAATGTAAATCTCATACCCCCGGTAGCTGCATGACATCTTTATTTTTATTGGCAAGAGAAGCAGTATACACAGCAACATTGCAGTCTCTTAGCTCGTTAAAAATATCTCAATAAATAAAACAAATAAGCAACATATACACTGGAACAGAAAATAAAAAAAAAAAAACGGGGGGGTGAGCGGTAGCAAATCATGGAGCAATAAGGAAGAGGTGGTAGACTGTGGAGGGCAGTCTGTAATCCAGGCTGTACTTGAAACAAATCATGCAGGGAGCTGGGAACATGGTGGGCTTTTTTCTTCTTTTTTTTTTCTGAGAGCCTTGGTCCAGTTTTGACATTACTGTACAAGAAATCAGGTTTTGAATTTTTAAAAATAGACAAAAAAATACCAAAAAAGAATACAGCTAAGGGGAAGTAAAATCCAAACCCAAAGATTTCTCATAAATGTATTCCTGAATTAAGATTTTTCAGAAAAAAAAAAAAATAGAAATAAAACCAAATGCACAGACAGACAGACACAAAACCCAACAACAATGAACAACCAGGAATGTTGCTTCTCTTTTCTCTTTGGTCAGTCGCTTGGGGAGAGATGTTGCAAAGGTTCAGACCACTAGCTTTGGTGCTGTTTTCTGCTCAGTCTAAGTGGTCCACAAGAGTTCAGAGTGAGGGAGGTCAAGAGGGGTCTTTTGGACCAGTTTACTTGAGGTTGTTAAGGTTTCAGAAGCTACAAACTTGGATACATCCCAATTCCACTTCAGTCCCAGACACTGGACAGTCTGGAGAGAAGAAAAAAAAATAAGAAAAGAAAAATAAATACACCAAATACAGGACATCTTTCTGAGATACGTTGTCTCATAAGTTCTTTTCCCTTACAAATCAAGGCTGTGGTTCAACCACCTTGATTTCAATCACGTGTTGAAACCTGCTCCTGGTCCCAGCAGCGTGGAGGCACACGGTTAACCCAGCAGCTGGGTGAGATCCAATGCACCAGGAGCAGCCCTCACCACTCCTTAAGCAAGTGAAACAGGGAGATCGGATGCTCAGGTGCCTGAGATGGGCTTTAGAAACCCTACCCACAGTGACTCTCAGGTTCTCCTGCAAAATCAGGCAAACCCTGCTGGAAACAAATACGTTTTCTTTCCATCCAGGGGTAACATATTTATGCAATATCTAAGCACATCCAAAAACAACAAAAAAAGGAACCTAAACTTAACAGTTCCTTTGGCTTTTGGATGTATAGCCTAAGTTCTGAGTCTGGTAATGTCACAGCCTTTTTTTGCATCTTACTGTGAAATGGTAAATCCATAGGCAGGAGCAATGTATCCATCAAAAAGTCCATATGCTGCCAGCAGCGTCTCCAGCTCCGAGGGATGTTGTGCTAAACCCCTATTTTCCACACAGTTCCTGGTGACCCAGCCCTGCGTATCGTCTCTCCTCTGCCCCATTTATCAGGATGTGACAAGATGCAGCAACACGTCGGGGAGCCCTGTTACCTGTAGGGTTTGCTCTGATCTGCAGCAACCTGCTGCTGCTCATTTGTGGGCTGGTGGGACAGACTCTGTGACCCAGCAGTGCCCATGGGAGATGCTGTCTAACTAGGGGGAGGGATAGCTTTGCAGGCGAGATGCTGTTTCTGCTTTCAGAAAGCCACCTCAGCTCATATATCAAAAAGCAGATATAATTATTTCCTCCCACTAAGGAAAGCTTCTATTTAGCTTATTTCCTTTCCTTTCCTTCTCAAAGTTATTAATTATCTAATTACAACCACATTCTGCAGACGAGCTCGGGACTTGACAGGCTGCCCAGGACCACTTAGGGAAGCTTAACTGCTTGGTGTGTGCGAGTGGTGGTGGTTTGTGTATGCGCACGTCTGACAGATGACAGGCTGCCCCTTTCCTGATGCTGGCATTGCCGCAGCCCTAGCCGGGAAGGGACTCAGAAGAGGAAAATAAAATACAGGGAGGAGGAAGATGCCATGGAGTGATTTTCTGCTTGAGCCTGGGGGCAACCTTTAAGCTCAGTTTCTTTTTTCAAGTTTTTTTCTCCAGCAAGGGGTGGAGGATGATCACTGCCAGCTACATGACAAATTGCTGTGCCCTGCTCTTCTCTGAACCCAGCTGCCATGTAAAACAAGGTGAAACCAGATAGAAAGCAATACTGAGCTGATCTATTTCCACTGATTTTTTAAATCCCACCCAAAACTGGAGAGATCAGCACAAAGCTGCTCTTAGAGCAAAGCCGGCGATTTGCAAGCCAATGTCTTTAACCCCGGGTGAGACGCCCTGCTCTGGCTGCTGCTGCAGTACGGGATCTCGTTTCCACTGGTCCTTTCTGGTTTCCAGCAGCTCTTTTGGCTCTGGCCAACTGGAAAAATGGGAATTTCACAGCAACTCAGTGCTAACAGGGTGTTTTGGCTTCCCTGTTACGGTGAGATGAATGAGCACTGAGCACGGTCTACCCTGTGGACGGCAGCGTTGCTGTGACCCAGGGCTCTGGCATGGCTCTGCCAGGTCCCCTCCCATGCTCCCAGGCTTAACCCATCCTTTCCCATCCCACACAGGGCACCAGGACCAGGGTCATGGCGGGCAGATGTGGCTGCTGTTCAACCATGCTTGGCTAATGCCTGGTTATCAGCCCTGGCAGGACCAGATGATCTGGTAGGCTATCTTCCATTGCTATTTTCTGTGATTATCCACTGAACATTAAAGCAGACTATCTCAGCTGACGGAGCAATATTATGACCAGATACAGAGGTCACCCAAAGAAAGCTGCTACACCTGGCCATGAAGGGGTTATTGTCCCCATCTTGACATGTACTTGTGTTTCAGTTCACATTGTGTAACGTTTTGCTTGTTGTTCTTACCACATATTCCATATAAAATCAACATCAAGGAGTAAAACCCGCTCCTTCACAGACCCAATCTGTCAGCACGAGAGAAGGAAAGAAATGCACAAGATGAGAAACCCCCTCTGTGTGACCTACTCCCTCCATTTCTTCTTCTCTGGACCTTTGGGATGTTGGATGCTGACTGCTTTTGAAAATCTGGCTCTAAGTAGCAATTTTGAAAACACATAACAGAAGGAGGTGGGCATCTGCTTGTTGCATGAGGGACACACTTCAGTGGTGGGATGTATGGAAACATGTCCTCTGCAGGCAGAGAAGTGATAAGGTGTGTGATGTCTGCACCCAACCTGTTGCTCCTCAGTTACCCCCCCTGGGTCACTTGAACAGAGCAGTACTGTGCTAAAAACGTGATAGCATCCCATGTGGAGCTTTATAAGGTGAGGGGACTTCAGTGGCTTCTCAGTTTGCTTAAAAGAGCACTACATATATTGGAGAAATTATACTCTGAATCTGGCTTGTGATCCTCGTATCACAAACCTGGTCCTTGCTCACTGCACAGTTTGAGTCTTGCAGGGGGAGGGAGGATCAGCTCCTGGCTGAGGAAGATGGATAATACACCCAAAAACCTGCAGGATGGTCTTTCCTCCTCCCCTACCCAGTGCTGCCACATCACTGCAGCCAGACTGTTCATGGTGGCTGCCTCCTCCTTCTCCTTGTTTCTGGAGAGCCCATCTTGAAGTGTCCCACTAAACCCAGTGCCTTGTGCCTGGGCCCCCAGAAGGCCTGGCTCTTATCTCCCAGCTCGTCATACACCGAAAGGGGAAGCACTGCCCTGCTTGCCTTCAGGAGCTATAAAATGAGTCACCAGAGCCCTTCTGGCTCTGTCCCCTCTTAAATTATAGATAGCTTTTCCATAACAATTTTGTGCTTTAATGGACCCTCCCAAGGTCATGCTTCATGTTTATGATCCTTTAAGCCCAGAGGGGCTCAGCACGGCATTCGTCAAAGCCTGCCAAGGCACTCAGATGGTGGCTACTCCTGCGGCACTTCTCAACTCCTCTCCCACAAGCCAGATCCACAGAGGTTTCCTAATGCAGTCCTGCAGGAATGGCTGCAGGTTTCCTATGGCAGCTGAATGACGAGGTGTGGATCTATGGGGTTTATTCTTAAAAGAAGCAGCAAAGCCCATAGCAGATTTCATGGAAAGGGGGCAGAGTTTCTTCCTGGCACTAAGCTGGTGTGGTAGGACAGCAGGACCTTGCAGAGCTTAGTTTTAATCCTAGCTCACGCGCAGGTTTGCTATCTAATTGCTCTCTCTGCATGTGCCTCAGTTTCCCTGGTTGGGAAATTGCAGTACATCCCTTCCCTTATAGTATCTGGACTGAGAGATGATATACGATGAAGGTCTCTGCTGAACATAGTTTCCAAGCATTTCTCTGACCCTGTAGCTTGTAACACAGAATATAGTTGTTATGCACTGCTATACTGCACACCCAATGCAGTTTCCGCTATATGGTGAATTGAGGGCTTGCTGCTTTATTTTTCCCTTGCTTTAGGAGCATTCCCCAGCCCAAGAGCACAGCATGGAAACCACAAGAGCCAAGAGCTGCAGGCTTGATGTAAGGTGGCAGCAAGAGCAGACCCCTGGTTACAGGAAATTTTGCAACTGGTCCCTGAAGACCTTGCTTATATAGGATTAGGGTGGGTTTGGTTACAAAGGGATTGAAATAATTTCCATAACATGGCCAAGAGTGCAAATGAAATATGAAATACAGCAAAACCGTTTGAGTTTGGGTTTGTTTTTTTTTTTTTTTTTAAGGATGCTTTTTCAATTTCTTTTAAAGTTGGGAATGTGAAAAAATGGTTCTGTGCCCGGGGCCCCGCCTCTCTCCCTCCACGTGGGTTTTGGCCAGCCAAAATCCCTGCCAGGAAAGTGCTGGCCAACATTCTTGCCTTGTGTTTGGGGCTGGGGACGGGGTCATGCAGTGAGGAGGGGATGAGGGGTGCGAGCATCAGTGTAGTGCAGCACACACCAGCTGCTTGCCCTGATCCCTGCCGAAACCAGGACAAGCAGTCACCAAGAAGTTTATAGACTGTTTCCTCCCCCCTTCCCCTTCAACTTGGGGAAGTAAAAACTAGTGTGGGTTAAAGCCAAGACCCTGGCCCCACCCCATGGGTCAGTGCGGGGCACTCTGCCCGTGGGCTGATGATGCTGCCTTTGGGCGCCTCCAGAGTGGATGCGGTTTCTGAATGAGCATCCTTGATGAATGGAGTTTGAATTGCAATAACAAATTTCTTGTAAGTGACACGGGTGGGCACACTTCTCACCAACCCCACATGTGGCTGCCCCAGCGGTCCCAGCCAGCTTCCCCATGGGTCTGTGTTGTCCCGGCAGCTCTGCTGCCTTCGGCACCATTCCTGCCACCGTATTTTGCCTCCTTTGAAGTCTCCCTCCCCAGACTGCGCCTGCTTTTTAAGCATCCCACAACATTCATTTTAATGGGATGTTAACTTCAAAGGCTGCTTTTTTGCAGGCTGTGGAGATTTGGAGCGGGGAGCGGCCTTGCTGCGAGGCAGGCTGGTGAGCAGTGGGGCTGCCTGGGGTGAGGAGGTAGGACACAAGAAGAGCAGGCAGCATTGCTGGGCACAGGCAACAAAAGAGCTCTGCGATCTTCCTCCCCAGGAAACAAACCCACACTGAGGAAGCAAGTGTTAAACCAGCCCACAAACTCAGCTGGAGATCCCTGTTGGCATCTCAAAACTCATCATTGCAAAATGAGAATAACCAGAAGGGATAAATACAGGGAAATGTACAACAAAAGCCTACTCAGGCTATCACTAGTCCTGGCTGATAATTAAGGCTTTATTTTGCTAGGTGCTGCACAATAGCTGGTAAGATGTTACAGGGACATTACAGTGTGGATGGGGAAG